ATGACTCTAAACAATATTACTATGTACAAAAAAAATACACTAGACTATATATAATATAAAGTCAAACATCAAACAAAAAGGAAGACAAAGGGTTCAGTTTGAAGTTCAATCAACCATATTTCTTACCTTCCTCATCTGCAGGCATGGTTGACACAGACGTCATATGCCTGCTACATCTGACAGATCTAGCGTACTAAAACTAGATGATGACTCTGTAAACATAAAACAATCATAGAACAAAACTATCAATGTTAAAGATCGACCATTTTGATATACAAATCTGAGCTTGTCAAGCTTAAACTAAGCGCAATTTTMCAAATTTGTTATCTTTCATGTCCATTTTGTAGCACGATAAAGTGAAGTAAGCTTATATGGAAACTCGCACGGTATATAAAGACAATCTTCAAACTTCTTTCGTAATAGTAAGAGATAGTAAATAGTAAATTTGTCGCTTCATTGCAACACAAACAAAATGGACGTCTCGACTGGGCTTATTTACATACACTAGGCAAACACATGACCTGACACATGACCGAMTTGACATGTCACACAACAACTAATTTGTAAACAGTGTCAAATTGAAGTACAGGCGATGAACGTTAAAATAACAAGCGCTAGTAATACCTGCAGTAGCGACAAATGAACACAGAATCAAAAACATCTTAAATATACAAAGGTAGCAAAGTTTATTGCTGAAATTCTTAAGACTTACCAAGACCTCCACTAATCCCAGAGAACGACGGGTCTTCGCCGAAAAGATCAATAATTTTTATTGTTGTGGGCGTCGGCGAAGCAGGTTTTTTTCCTCCTCCCGTTTCCTTTCTTGTCTTTGCTACCTTGTTGTGCTTCTTTTTGGCCGTACTGACCATGGCCCTCCACTTGTCTTTAATTTCTTCTGGTGTCCTTTCGCTGACACCAAGAGCATTTACTTTGGAAGTTATGTCTTTCCACGTTTCTTTCTTTTTTTTGTTTGTTATAACCGTGGAAAATTTGCTTTTTATAATGTCGAGGTGTTTTTCCGCCTCCTCTAGAATTATAGTACATTCGGAACTGGTAAAATTAGCCTTTCTGTTACGTTTTAACTCGCCGGTAATCTCTAATTCGGCCGCCATTTTTATTGCAAAAATGACGAATTTTACCTAGCAACGCGAAGCCATTCCAGTGCGAAACACTGCTTAATCATTTAACCAGTGGATAGTTATCCAACGTTCTATTTGCCCTTCGTGCAACAGCATTTTATCCACTGGATAACTATCC